TATAGATATCATTTAATTATCTCCTCCCATTCCTGCACTCAAATTCTGTTATACTTTTTTAAGATGGTAAATTACTGTAACATGCAGTAGGAGATAGGTTTAGAAGTAATAAAATTACTCCACCTGCAAGTACAGTATTTCACACTCTAGGTGTCTTAGTCCCCGGATCTTGCAATTTCAAATTAACATAAACCATTCAAACAGGATTCACATTAAATCTACAGTGGTGATAGAAACTATAAACCAAAACAAAACACGTAGCCTGCTTTCAAATAGATCTCATCTGTTGAAATCAGTGTTTGTGAAACAAATTGCCCAGCTTCTCACTTTTCCACTGCATTAAGCTGGGAAACATTAGCAAGTCTTCCTATGCAGTGTATTTTGTCCTATAACAAGCAAGATTGCTACCCTTTTACTTACTACATTTCTGCATCAAATCTTACATGGAAGAAACTATTTAGGAACACTCACACTGGAAAAAGTAAATGTCCCTTCTGTTAAGCAAGGAAGAGATTAAAGCTCAGTAGCCCAAAACGTAAGATTAGGTTGCAGTCCACCACAACAAGGCCTAGAAGTATGCCAAAGTAAAACCAGGGATGAAGCACTGTTTGAAAGTCAGTACGCTCTCTCTTACTCCCGTCACACCTTTTGGTCATTCCTATAAAGCTCTTGTGATTCTGGTCAGAATTTGAAGAACTCATTAGAAGCAGCCCAAATTCAAGAAAGGGAAGCATACTGCCATTTTTACAGTTTCTTTCTCTACCCACATAATCTCTTTTGAAAAAGGAAAAAAAAAAAAAAAACTAACAAAAATACCACCCCAAGTTCCTAATGCTAATAATTAATACTTGAAATCAAATAGAAGAAATTGCAATGTCACTTTCTAGCAGTCAAGGACTGATAAGCCATGAGGAGCAAAACGCCCAAAACCCAGAAGGGGAAAGTCCGAGGATCTGCACTACAACAAGGAACCCTCCATCTCACAACCAAGGTACACAGAAGTACAGTTACTTTATAACAGATACAAAGTGGGTTCCAATTCTCTGCAGTATTAGGCATCTGTTCTCCTCAAGACAGCAGCAAAATAGAGGAAACTGATGCTGGGATCACAGTATGTTAGAAAGTCAGTCACAGACAGCTGAGGTTTTCCCTTCTTCCCTTGCAAGAAGGCAGAACTTGATCAAAAGCAGAGAGCAGTGCTCAGGGCACAAGCCTCAGCCAAGAGCTAAGCTCCCTTTCCACCAAGTTAAGTATCATGTTTGCTTGATCCCTTTAACTTGGTGACTAAAATATAAAAAACTCCCCTTATGATGACCCCAACCCACCTTCTCCTAGTCTGAAAACCAGCAACAGATGAAGTACCAAATAAAAATACACAAGTGATTGATTAATCACTATGAAGTTAACACTAACATATTCTGCTCCAGAATAAAACCACAGTGCATAGCTTTCAGAGTACACAGAAAGGGAGGTGTGTCATTCTCTCAGCCTGTACTCTCCTAATGGTTTTGGATGCAGCCTTCCTCAAACTGTTAAAGCACATGCTTAAGATAGTTTATGAATGCATTATTTTGTACATGTGTTTAGAAAACACTTGTAAGATCCATTTAAATGACAGACTTGTACAAGAAATACCTTGGAGTTGTCATGCTCCCAGAACAGCCAAGGGGAAGAAAAAAAAGACACACCACCTCAAAATCTACTTGTGATTTCCACACAGTACTAAGATCCAGTTTAAACACTAATTCTTTCCTTTAAGCTGCTACAGCCAGTCTAGTAACAGCTAGCCATAAGTCAAGAACATGTATTGTGAATGTTCACTAAATTAATAGAATATTTGATACAATTTTGAAGAAAACAATAAGGATTCCCTTTTCAAGCTCGCACAAGAAAAATGCCATCTGACAAAGCCAAGCATATCATCAAAGTTTCTGGTACAACATAACAAATCCCAGTTTAATGAAAACATGCACCTAACTGATCCAAATAGTTTAATGCAAAAATACATACATGCTTTTACTTACAGATGTTATATTCATATCTCCTGCTAGATACTTTTATTGCCCTCCCAATTTGATTACAGGAAGAACCAGAAGGTCTGAGCAGCATCTCAAGTCATGCCAAACCATTTGCTGCTATACTTCATTTTCCAAGTCTGATAAGTGTTTACAGTTGTTAAAATGTTAACAAATGTTAACCAGTCTTCTGAAGGGAAGAAACTCCTCGAGTATTCTCCAAGAATCAGAAGAAGGGTGCCCTATTTACTGGTAGAGCTCTTACTCCTCACACCATTTCCATCCAATAAAACGGGGCAAAGCAGGTAGAATGATACACACTGGAAAGCAAAGAAAGCATCAAGATCTTTAAAGAGCTCAAACATTCAGGACATTAAAGCAAGCTAAGTTATACAGTCTCACATATGCACTTACTCAAGTTCTCAGCAATACTATACAACCGTAAGTGGGACAAAAGGTAGTTTGTACAACCTAAGACACCATTCACCATGTGGAAGTTTAAGAACCCTTGATCCTAGCAGTCTTGCTGAGCAAGTAATTTCCTTCCAAGATGTGGTAAGGCCTATGGATCAGCCTCATCTTACCAGAACAACGAATTTAGTTGTCCAAGGTCTAAGATGCAATCTATGATCACCCACTTAGCAGTTACCTGTGCTTACAAAACACAGTCTATTTGAAATAATCTCATTTATTCCAAAGAGGTAGACAAAATTTTGAGAAAGAGTTGCCAGAGTTAAGCCCTCAGGGCCCATACTTAATATCTTGGTCAGAGTAATTTCAGAACATTTCACTCACAAAGAACATCCTAACTTTCCTGAACAACAGCCATGAAGGACAACATGTATCTATTTATAATGAATATTATTAAACAAAAAAGCCACATACTTGTATGTATTCTCTCAGCAGCTTCTTTAAGCCAAGCCTTTTATTTAGTGGGCATGTATAGCTGATCTTAAACTTTGTGAAGAAAGGGTACCAAGAAATTAATAGAGCGCTATTTCTGGCAGGCACTCACTACCTTTTCTTTATAAAGAGAAAAGCTGTTAAGATCCTCATTTCAAATCATCATTTTTAAAGCTAATAGGGAGGCACCTGAAGAAACACATAAGTTAAAAGCAGAGATCATTCTATCATTGTATTCCCCCTTTCCAAAACAATCTTTTCTCCTAGAATGAACTTTGTTTGCAATTAAGCTAAGTTCAACTGCCAAGCATTTCTAAACATTTGCATGTGTTCATCTTGTTTATGAAATGGAAACTCTATCACAGAATCGCAAAAGCCTAAGGTACCACACATCTGAATCCTAAACCACGCGTTTGTTCACTACATTATCAGAGATGCTAAGAAAACAGAAATATATTTAAGTGTTTATAGGCCATCTGAAACTAATTCTTAAGCCAAAGACCTATTTTATTCTCTGCTCTTCATAAGCCTGTATTTTCTGTTTTTTCTTTTTCTCTTTACTTTTTTTTTTTTTTTTTTTAAGCAGGGAGAGAAAGAAGCTAGAATGAATTTCATTCTTCAACATATTTGTATTTTGGTATGAGTTTCTCTTTTGTTAGTGCCAGTCAGCACATTTACAAGAATACGAAGTCAAAGTACAGGGATGCTGAAATCAAGACATCTTAAAACTAAAACAGGAAACAGTTAAAACACAGCTAGTTAGAAATCTGTACAGGCTCAATAAATGTGCAATTGGCCAACATTAACTTCTAAAACTTTTGGGCAGGAATAAGCTAACATCTGCAGGCCCAGAGTTTCCACAGCTTTAACTAGCTGATGGGTTTTGCTTACATTAACATATGCTCTAGAGAGAATTGCTTCTCCTATGAACTATGTACTTGATATTACCATACTGACACAAATATATAAGCCATGGACAATTAAATCCCTTCAGGGATGGTAACAAAGCATTTTAAGATAATTATCTAGCATATTTTCCCTCCCCTTTTACTGTACTGGCGAAGGCACCGGCAGCTCACTTCCTAACTGGCAGGTAGAGCTGTACGACCGTCACGAAGTAGGATGAGAGCCTGTATGCAGCCTTGTCATTTGCTTCTGCTAATGTACAAAATGGAAAGAGCGTCTAGTATTTTGCAAGTAGGAGATGGAAAGTTAGGTGCCGGTTATTTTACTGACAGACAAATCTCGGGCGGTTACATGGACGGTCCAAAATAACACCAAAAATAAGAGGCTGCCATTTACCATCTGTTTGCCTCTCTCAGGGGAGGGGAAAAAAAAAAAAAAAAAAAAAAAGTGCAGATCACAAGAACAAATGGAGCCTGGCTCTGGGGATGAGGAAGAAGAGGAGAGAGGAAATTTCCACGCAAATCCTAAGTGAATCACGCCTCGCTCCCCGCGCCCGGCCTCCCCCGGCAGAGGCGAGCGGCTCCGGGGGCACCGTCCCCCCGCGCCCCCGGCCGGCGGCCCGGCCCGGCCCAACGGCTCCCCCGCGCCGCGGCCGGGCGGCAAGGAGGAACTGAAGCCTCCCCCGGGCAGCGGCAGGGAGGGATCCCCCTTGCCCGGCGCCCCCCGGGGAGGAGCCGCCCGCTCGCCCTCTCGCTCTCCCCACACGGCCCGGCGCCCTCCGCGCACGGCAGCGGCCCGGCGCGTCCCCCCCGCCGCCGGGGCCGGCACCGGGGGGTGGGCTGAGGCCTGCGCCGTCCCAGCGAAGCCTCGGCGCTCTCGTAGTCAGAGCAGCCCGGCTCCCCCCCCCCCCCCCCCCCCAACCTCCTCCTCCTCCTCCCCTCTCCTTCCCTCCCTCCTTCCCCGGCCCGGCCTTCAGCTCACACTCACCCGCCTTCCTCCTCCTCCCTGCCCGGCCCGCGGTGCGTGTGCGCGGCTCTCCCTCACGCTGCCCGGCGCGGCGGCGGCGGCCGGGCCGGCGGGGGCGGGCGGGTGGGTGGGTGAGCGTGCGGGGAAGGAGGCGAGGGGAGAAGAAGGAGAAGGGTGGGGAGGGAAGGAAAGAGGCGGCGAGGAAAGAGAGGAGAAGCGGGGAGGAGAAAACAGCAGCGGCGTTCCTGGGGCGGGACCTGCGGCGGCAGCCGGCCGGGCGCTTGGGCGACTGCTCCGACGACCTTTACGCGAGAGACGGGTAATCTCCGAGCTCGGGGCGCTCCGCTGCCAGCCCGGCCACCATCTTACATTAGGGAGACTTGCCCTGGACACCACCTCCCCTGCGCTTGCGCCGCCGGCAGTGGGCGGGGAGCAATGGCGGGGGGGGTGCAGGGAGGGGGGGGGGAATGGGGCGCGACGGCAACTGCCGCGACGGCGCGGAGCATGACGGGACTTGTAGGCGGCGGCTCCGGCCCGGGCAGCGCGGGAGGGGGCGGCCGCTGTGCAGCCCCGAGCCGGGGGGGGGCCGCTTCCCCTTCGCCGCCGCTGCCGCCCGGGGAAGGCCGGGGACACCAACCCCTCTCCTCAGGCAGGGCCGCCCCGGCGCCCCGCTCCGGGGAGTCCCCGGCCATAAACCTGTTGTAATTTCAACCACCTGTTGCTGGCCATTAAACCTGCTCAAGATTGAAGTACTCGGTTGATATTTTTAATTTTTTTTTTTTTTTTTTTTTTTTTTCCCCTCTCATTGATGTCGCTTCGTTTTTTTTTTCCCCCTGCGCCGGGTCAAACGACCGTGTCTACCTGCCCGTCAGACTATGCCGGTTGTTGGCCGTGAGGTCTGCGGAGGGGATATACCCCCTGCAGCCGGCTGTCGGGAAGGGCGGCTGTCACGGCCTTCGGGTCTCTCACTAAATTCAGCACAGGCAGCGGTGTCTCACAGGGCACCCTTCCCCTCACACGCCGGGAGAGCGGGACTGGGCCCTTGCCCTTTTCCTCCCTTTTTTCCACTTTTTTTTTTTTTAATTTTATTTTTATTTTTCCAACCTCACAGGCTGCAGCCTCAAGGACCTGTTGCAACAGGATCGCTTCGCCAACAAGGACATCTGTTTCTGAAGTTGCAAAATTTGGAGGCCACATCTCCCTGGTTCCTGGGCCGCTGTGCTGCTGTCCTGCCAGGTCCAACTTGGGATGGCCAAAGCCTCCTCCACCTGCCCAGCACCTCTTAGTGCCGGAGCACGGCTGTCCCATGGCAGCAGGCACCAGCATGCTGTTGCCCCTTTGCTGAACAGATTTTTTGCTGTTATCATTTGGACTTTCCAGGTCTGTTCCCCATTTGGAACAGAAGCCAAAGGCACAGAAAAATGTTTTCTTGGATTTTTTCTCTACACTTAAAAAATCCATGCAAAGTCTATTTTCATGCATAAGTGCTGTAAGTAATTTTGACAGAAGCAACTTCCTGCAAATTCTCAAGAAGAGGATCTCTCCCCTGCCAAAAAGGCTTTCTTTTTTTGGTCTTTGTATTGTGAGAAACTCACACAAACCACATTGCTTCTGTCTCCTCTTTGTACCGCAGACACCCCGGGCCATAGGCCTGTTAAAACTGAACCTGTAACTCTTCCTTTTTCCTGTAATCCCTGTGCCACACAAAGGACCTCATCACTTCAGCTACCAGACAAAAGGAGTGCTTTTATTCACTGCCTTTATAGCTCTCCAGTGGCTCTCTTGCACCAGCATCCTTAGCTCTCAAAACAGTCAACCCCATCCTGAGTGTTTAATTATCAGTTATCTCCAGTGCACAAGCTATTACTAATTTTGCCATGTCAATAACCTCCTGAAAATCTTACTTTTTTCAGCAATTGATAGGAAAGAGAGGTGTTCATCACAGAATGTACTGGCATAACTATTTAATTTACTGGCATGTTCTTCTTCTTTACTTTTGTGTCTTAGATTGAAGTGTTACACTAGTACAGCCTCATACAATAAGTCCGTTCCACTAACAGTAAAGTGCCTTGTTTTGACATAGCTCATTCTCCTTCCTCAAACAAATTAGCATTACCTTGTGCATATTGCATTTTATATTGATATATGTATATCCACAATGGGAAAGCTCTATGAATTAACTTTACCACTTCTGGCTATTGGCAAGACCCAAGTCTGCATAAAAATAAATGCTATTTTCAGTAGTAGTCTTGACATGTGAACACAAATGCAATATTCTTTTGAAAACAAAACGTACAATAGAATATAAACACCTATGTCTGTATGCAGTTCCTTGTTTCTCTGCATATATATTCAACTATAACACATATTTCATATATATAACTACATATTAATCAAATTCAGGTGAATATATAAAATAACCTATTTATCAAAAAGTTTATAGTTTTCACATTTTCATATCAACCTATATGTAAACCATTAGGTTCCAGAAGTACCCATTAGATAAATAACTTATATAAGTAATGTAATTGTTGACACACCTAACACCTGCCAATGTTACCTGTTGAATAAAAGCAAGTATTCTGACTCAGAAAGAAAGATTCAAAATAATATATCTAAAAGCTGCAGTTCTTGATCAGAGTTGAGGCTGTTTATTAAGTGAATCCTATGATTTTTTTTTTAATCCAGTACTGAGGAGTCTTTCTCTTAGTAATAATCTGTTCATATCCCTTTGCTGAGCCCTGCATGAATACAAATTTCAGCAGCATCCGGTAATAACATGGAAAAAAAATCTACATTGCTGAAGATTACTTTGACTGATGTTACTGAAGGTTACTCATAGCCCTGCTTCCACCTCTGCTTTACTCTGGTAAGAATAATTCACTAGGCCATCATGTGGCCATTATAAGATTTAAGGTCCTAAAATGAATTATTTTCTTGCTTTTAAGTAACTTTATTTGTTTTCATTAGATTAATCTTACATAGCCACATTTTGACACCTTATTTGCTTTTGGAAATGTTTGCTTTTCATTTGTTTTGAATAGGTCTGATCACTGAGCAGGACTGTTTGTAAGAAATTGTTTCCGTGTCTGCAAGCAAAAGCTTTCAGAATATATTTTCCTGCAAATAACCGATGTGTACTAGCTAGAGTAAAAATGTGTACCCGTATGATTTGTTTATTGTGGTTCAGCCCCCATTTCCCCATGATTTGTTGCATACACACTGTTGTACATTGATTCACACCATGTGCTGGGAAGGTATTCTTCCAGACAATGCTCCAGGGTCACTGTCTCGTGTGACACATATAGGAACCTAGTGGGATTCCACAGTTTGGGGTGAAACCAAGCTATTTTCAGGACTCCTCTGGTGTTAAGTCACTGCCATTTCAAATGACTGCCAAGCTGTATGGAGGAAACATGTCAGAGATCAAAAGTGGAGTGTCCTGAGAAGGAATTAGAAAGAGACACAGTGGTGGTGTACTGGCAGAAAAGGAGGAGGTGGAGATGGAGTAATTCCCCTGACTAGTTGGGATGAAGAGTAATTACTCTGGGATTTAAGGATGGTAAAGTTTGCAAAGCATCTGTATGGACTGCAGTAGGAATACTCATCAACAAAAAGCCAATACAGCAGCACCTCTGCCTGTGGACATGTGTAACTATTAGTGCCTCAGTGCTTGCCAGCAATCCATTTGGCTCACTGCTCACTGGATTGATGCTGGTCCACCAGTGTCTGCTGGATATACATATTACGTGTGTGTTTCAGTGGGCTGGTACTGAGAAAATACTCCAAGATTTGGAAAATTCGTGATCCTGAGTTGTGCTGGAAGCAGTGGCTGGATGTATGTGCCTGTATTTCAGACTGAAAGTCATGTTTCATAAGTGGAAGAAAAAGATATTTTTTCAAGCTTCTGCAAAGCCTCATTGATCACTATGGAAAGTTCATAGATGTCAATGCAGAATGATATACAATAGTGGATGACAGTTTTTTTAGAAATTTAGCCTTATTTACTGCAACAAAAATAAAAATTGCTCCCCAGACTGCAATAGATGTTAATGATGTGTCCATTCCTTTTGTCACTCAGGGAGATCCAGACATCTTTCTGCTTCTCTGGCTAATGACGCCTTTTAACGGGCAAATGTGTTGGAGAAAGGAACTGTATGACTGTTCTGAGTAACTGTTGAATTAACTGTAGAATAACAATGAAGGGCTTTGTTGGGAAATTGAAGGGCAGGTGGAGGAGCCTTACAAACACTCTGATCAATATTTGCTGCAAGTGGCAGATGTTCACCATGTCTTGTTTGAAATCCATGAGGGAAGGAGGAGGTGTCCACTGCTGCTCAGTGAAACAGGATGAAGGATTTGTCCTGCTCTTCCTTAAATGAGAGAACACAGTGGTGAAAAATTAAAGTATTGTAGCCAAATAGATGAAAGATATGCATCTTTGTTAATATTTTTGTGTTATTGGGGGAAAATTAGAACTTCAGTGGGATGCCTCAGCCAATTACTTTGTGATAATCTTTACTTACTCAGCATAACTCTGGAACAGCACACTATATCTAAGTGTACCCATCTTTGCAAATGAAAGAGGAAATCATTCCCATTTTCTGGAAAGGGTGCAGTGGGGGTCTCCGGGAAGTTACCACTACTCTTGTTAACTTCAGGGCTCACTTGAGGTAGTGGTATGAGTATAATGTCCTAATATTCTTCAGAGTTCTGTTTCCTTCTGCACAATTTACAGCAAATCTTCCTGTATGTTGTTGTCCCAAACTCCTCTGAATCTAGACACTCATGTGAAAGTTAACTCAAGTTGTCACAAGCATTCTCCTAGCTATTTTTTTGCCTTCTGGCTCCTGTGCTGAAATCCAATCACAGAATCCTTAGACTTCTCTTTTCTATCCTCCTTTTCTTTTTTGAAACATTTTTTATGCATCAGGAAGCTTGCAAGGCTCATGTTCCTCATCATAACGGTGCCTCTGTTGCCAGAGACAAATTGCAAATATTTGTCATTTCTACACTGAACTCAGCACCAATGATAAGAGGTTTGGGTTGTTTTTTTTTTTTTTTTTAATCTCAATTTTGGAATGGCATTCCCATCTGTTTTTCCAGTCTGGGCTTCCCTAGGAAATGGATCTTCCCAGGGAACCCAGTAATGTGTAATAAAATAAGATGCCTCCCTGTCTGCATCTCCTTTCCTTAGAAGTCCTGTGCTGGTGTTGGAATGGGAAGGAGGGAAGAAGACGCTGGGGTAATGAGAGGTGAATAGTAACAGGATTCAAGTTTGTAGTTCTATGTGCACCTCTTTATCAATGTTACTTTGAAGTGTGTGTCCAAGAGGTGAGAAAAGTCTCACTGTAAAAGGCAATGGATAAATCAGAAAGATATGCAGCATTGCATAGAAGAGTACTGAAATATATTCAACTGCAGAAGTGAGAGAGACATACCATGCAGATAAGCAACCAAGAAGGCTGCACTGCTTTGCTCTGTGCATAGTAAAATGGAGCACAGTCTTTGCCTTAAGATCTCCTGTAACACACACAGGTCGGCATCATGTGCACTAGAACAGAACAGACTTTGAAGGAATTGGCCTGAATCCAAGAATTTTATAATACTAAAAGATTTGATTATAAGTGTCTTATAATCCTAGTATTTCGAAATGTTGAATTTTGGTAATTCATCTCATAAAATGTGAAAGGAGCTAAAGAATGATGAACAAACTATGAGCCAAAGTATATTTGCTATTGCTTTTTTTTCTGCATCCACTGTTGCAATAAATATGCCTGCCCTGCAATCTGTATTCTCTTTAACTCATGCAGTGCTGCCACGTTATCTGAATGGCAGGAAGAGTAGCAGCAAGCCCAGGTGCACAGTTAAGCAGCGTGAGCTGGGGACAGAAGATTGAGTTCTTGTTTGTGGAGCACCACAATGACCACACTAGGGAAGGCCGTGCCAAACAGATGGCAAGAGGCTCATGGTTCGTACAGCTCATTTCTACCACCGGTGACGGTATCCAGATATTACCTGGTTTAGAGATGCAGAGCTAAAATATAATACAGAACATGATAGGAATATTTCCTCTGCAGCATTTTAAAGCTGACCACCTATCTGGATTTCAAATAGCATTTTTGTAACCTCAGTCTTTGCATTTCAGTTTAGTGGTTTGAAAAAAATATTAGCTCTACAACTCCCTATTTGAAGTGACATCATTTGACAGCTGTGGTAAATCACCTGGATATGTTAAAATACTGGGGTTCAGTGGTGACTTCCCATGGATAAATCTTTTACAGCTCATCATATTCTGGACAGTTAGAAGTCCTGGAGGCCTTGTTCATGTCCCTTGTGCTCTTGTAGACCAGACAGCACTATTTTGCTTTATGGTAGCACTGGTCCATTTCTGAGGAATGTCTCTCTTGCATTCAGTTTGGCCGACACTCACAAATCCTAATATCTGAGGCAGTGTCATAGAGTTGGGGCTGGATGTGCTACATACAACCCATGAGACAACATCAAGGGAGGAAAAGAGGTGTTACTCTAGAAAAAATTGTGAATCTGGGGGACACACACACATTGGAATTGAAAAGGAAGCTATTAGCATTCAGTGAGAGTTGATAACATACCTAATCTAGATGATGTTGTAACAGATGAGGGCATTCAGGGGTCAGACAGCAAATAAACCATATGACATTATACAATGAAGGAAAATCATTAAAAAATGGACAGAATCCTCTCATGAGCTTGATTCAGCTCACAGCTGAAAGCCGTGGGCTGGGGAGCCTGGGTTTCATTCACACGAAAAGAAAGCCCAGCCACTTTAAAGCAATCTTTGTGAATACACTCAGGCCAACTCATCTAAAGTAGTTGAAGTAACATCCCTGTGTAGACAGGACTTTATTATGTTACTTGTTATTGTTTTCAGGGAGTCCTCACCTGCTCTTTAAAGCACAACATACATTACGAGAGAGAATGATTGCTCATTATTGTTGCATTCCTTAATTGCCTTCTATATTAGTGTGTTCAAAGAAATGTATTTTTTCTCTCACTGCATCCGACAGCACTCAGCATTTTCCACAGAGCTCAAAATTGCTCGCATTCTTATAAAAACGCCTCAGCCGTATGGGATTTGCTGAGATGAAATAAAAAGTGCACGACTTGAGAAAATGCAATACTTGATCCTGCTTATTGATTCCATGGCTGCTGTATAAACAGGAACTGTTAGTTACAAGAATTTCCACTGAGTTTATCAGTGTTAGAGCTTGTGTTCTGCATAGGTCAGGTGTGACGAGAGCTCACCTGTCAAGAAAGTATGATGTTGCATTAAAGGGCTGGGGTGAACTTTGATGCTTGTAAATATATTGCACCAGCCAAGCTCCAGCTGCAACCTTGCAGTTTTCCAGGCAGATCTACTTCCTTTTGCCAAAGGAATGTGAGCTACCGCAGCTAATTTTATGCTATATAAATAATGCTGATAGAGGGACAAGCCTGACATTAGATAGGTCAGATAGGCAAAATAATAGACTAAATAGGAAAGTCGAAGCATTTGTTAATCAGAAATATGAGTATGTTCCTTAAGGAGCTGCAGGAATCCGACTGTAATGATGACAAATGAGAGATCCCAGAATAATAAGATCAGCCTTGCATATAGGCAGCACCATAACTAAGACTCTCTATGACATAGATGTGCTTGTTGTACAGAGAAATTGGGCCCTTATATTCCGATAGAGAACATTTCCTCTTCTTAACAGCCTGTGCTTGACATGCTGATGGAGCAAAGGTTGTGCTCTGTGCCTTGCACTGCTCCGCTCTCTCTCCCCTTTTGCTTCATCCTCCCTCAAGTGCTCTGCAGCATGACGGGGCCAGGCTGAGAGCCACCGAGGGCAGGGATCATATCTAGGGGGGTGTAGAGAACAGGCTGGTATCCTGACTGTATTGTATAGGTTAGCCAAGACACCTAAAGGAATGTAGATATTTTTCTATTTTAATATACATTTTTTATTCTTTCATATGCATTTAAAAATTTTATTATGTTTTCCCCTGCAACATTTTAAAATCATTGACACATTAATGCATGAATAGGAGAATTTCCTGCTAACAGGCCAGAAGTAGAATTAAAGCCCTTGGTAGACCTAGTTTGTTTCACTCCTAATAATCTAGCACTTGGGTTTTTTAAAGGAAGGATAAATTGCTTTTGGCTCTTAAATAGGTTATTTTAAACTGTAGCCAGTCAGCTTCTGATAGGAGCCATGTAAACCATGTAAATTGTGCTGACTTTTACTTCAGCTTACTTTTCATGCTGTTTTCTTCTCCTTACTTTATATTGGTATCATACCTGGGAAACCAAAATGAATCTTTGCACAAAAAGCTTGAGAACAGATGTGTCAATACCACTTCAACGGATAGCATATTATGTCATGCTTGTCTGAAGTTCTTATATTTTATGCAAACTCACCGTATTCTGGGCCTTAAAATGTACGGCACAGTTGTTGGATTGACATGAGGAAAAGGAAGAATATGCTGAGGTTTTTGTGTGGTTTTAGTCCATGCCTAGCAGTATTTCTCACAACTGGTAAATAAAACAGTATAACGCCTAAAAGCCACAAATTGCAAAACTTTTAGGTGTTTATATTTGCATGGGATTCCATGAAAATAGCCTGATTTCGAAAACAGGTGAGCATTTGCAACTTCTCCTGAGGTCAGTGGAAACTCTTCTCTGAAAGACAGTTCCATTCTGCAAATTTCCCACACAGTCCTTCTGTGCTGAATATTAGACCTACACTTTGGAAAACACTGGGTACAATATCATAATACAAAAAAAAGTTGGGCACCCACAAGATTATACCACATGTATCCAGAATCTTCCAAGTTTAATCTCTTGGGTGTGTTATGTTGGAATAAGTTTTGAAAAGACTTGAGGGTAAAGCTATGACTAAGCATATTAGTAGCTAATGAAGAATCTCCTGAGAGAATAGAGTGGGGAATGTTCTGCAGAGTAAGATGCATGGGGTGATGCCTAACAGTAGGTTCCACCATAAGCGTGTGGACAGCTTTGTTGTCCTTCAGAGGCAACCCATTCATCCAACTGACATGGTGGGCCATCACTTTTTTCACTCTCCATCACAGAAGCAGGAGACTAAGAGTGTTAAGATAAGGTGGGCAGTCAGGTACTTCCCACTTGGGTAAAAAGTCTTTGCCAAAATCAGGGATGAGAGGGAAGCAACTTGTTGGTTGCTTGCTTCTTCACTCCTCCTCTCTGCAGATAGGAATCTAGACACTGGACTTTCTTCCTTCTGAGTAATATATGCCTTTCCTCATTCTTCTGAGCAGTGTATACCTTGACTCATTGCAGGCCTACTTCAAAGGCACAGAAATCAGAGGGAACACTCTCAGACCTTTTCTCACTAGAGTGATGTCATACATTCTCACCTCAGGACAGGTAAACAGTGAATTGTCTCAGCTGAGATCTTAGTAAAGACAAGGGAATTATTTTTTCGTCTTCAAGATCTAGTTAAAATCCAAGCCTATCTCAATCTAGTAATAAGTGAAAATACACCTGTGGATTTTATTTAAAAATAGTTGAATAGGTACAGTATCTATTTATTGAGGTGTGACTATTTTAATGAAAAGCAAAACAGCAGAAACAAAGAGTGCAGGTCTCAAAATGTGAAGTAAAATTGCTGAAAGAATGATGCCGTTGTACTCCTATACAAAGCAGAATGTGATGGCCTAATTGAATTTTATTAGGCATTGCTTTCTAATTGTTGGTATGACTGAACAATCAATTCTGTAAAAGGCACTTGGCTAATATTCTGAGCAATGTACTTCCTTAAGAAAACTTAGCTATGACACAGCATTAACCTTTAATTGGTACCTTGCATCTCAGATAAGTGAGGAAATAAGAGGATAAATAGAGCCACCTTGGGTTTTCATGGCTTATCTACCTCTTGTATAGACCTTTCAAGTTTAGTAGCATGTTATGTCCTCCTTACATTTGGATGAAACAGCTCTGCACATAATGAAGCAACCAATTCATGAAAGAAGTCTCCAAAAAGTACAACACAAAAGTTCAAAAGGGTGGTGGCTATAAGCCCTTTTTTTAGGAAGTGCTCCAGTGCTTAAGCTTTTGCACCTGTGAAAATCAAGTAGTTGTTTTAAATAAAAGCTCTAAAAGTGAGCCCTGGCAGCTCAGTCTGCAGAGGGCTGACAACTGCTGTGGAGCAGATTGACAGCACAATTGCCTGCTAGGTGTGCCCCACTGGGAAAAGGCTGAGTTTGGGCAGCTGGTTCAAGTCACAGCATGTGACAGAAGGTTACCAGAAAGGTGATTCTCCTGTCCTACCAGAGCAATCCTTGTGTCAACTGGCTCTAGCAATGGCAGCCGGGCTTCTGCTGAAGAACTCTTTACTATGCCATGGCTGACTCCAGTTGTGATTTGGATGAGAGATGGATGTGGTCAGACAAGCACCATGTGAGTAAGAACATACACTGCCCTGGGTGATACTAGCTGTGTGTGTACTTACTGTTCCCTTATTTTTTCCCCTTAATTTTAAATATCCACAATTAATACTATCCCCTTAACTTTCTCCAAGTCTGTGTTTGCACAGTTTTTAAAGAGGAGGTAAGTTGTTTATGAATAGGGAATCCTAGCAATGTGGAAGCCTGTTAGCTCTAGAGGGAGACTAACTCCTCAAAAAGTCCTTTTTCTGGTGTTATGCATGAAAGTCGCTGTGAGGCAAGACATGGAGTCAGATCATTATTTTATGGAGCCATGAATAGAGAGAAAAGACACAGAGCCTTCAGATAAGAAATCAGTTTATTGAGAGCACTGGGGCTATATGACTCACTGATTTATATGAGTAGGCAAACAAACCAGAAACTATTAAAAGAGTGGCTCTGATCAATACAAATAAAACCATGTTTTTGTTCTTACTGAGATCAGAAAAATAAATCTATCCTTAGTCTACAGATTGCCTTGGTTTGGAATACCTGTAAAGACAAAAGCCTTATAGCTGGTCAGGTTGACAGTTCTGGTGGAAGTGGTGGCCCCTTTCTCATATGGTTCAGGCTTTCAAGAACTCTCCAGAGTAGTAGACACTGAAGTTACATTTCTTTGTGATTTAGACAGAAAGTGAATTAGCTTTTGAGTCTCACACTATTTGAGCAAGAGCTCTAGGCAGTTGAGGGCCTCAAGCTGTGCCTCCCTCAATTTTTTTGGTTGACGCTGATGCTTTTGTCAAAAAAATAATCACTGAGAGAAATTGCAGGAGAAATGTTCTTTACCTGCTGGTCAGATTAGTCTTTTGAATGGTGGGATTATCTCTACCTCATTCCCCGGCAGGTTCCAGTTCCATATCCAGTGAAAGTTTAGTTATTTTTTGCAAAGTGAAGTGGCCCTAAAGAGAGATTGAAAGCATACAATTCCAAGTACCCTCCAACTTTTATGGGAGGTAGGAGATGTATGTTATATGGGGGTGCAGAACTTAGCAAGCCTCTCACAGCCTGAACAAGTGAGCTGAACTCCTCCAGTGAAAGGGAGGCATTTCATATCATGCTGTTTGGATCTCACCTCAAAACTGACACTAGAATTTCTGAGAAGTTCTGGGAGATCCCACTTTGAAACACGTTTACCATTTGCCAGTATAAAACAACGTCAAACTAAGCCACCCAAAAGGCACAATCAAATCTTCATTAAAAATAAGGCCACATCATTTTTAGGGGTTTCTCATAGCTTAGTGTCCTTGTGTAGTTCTAGTCTAAACATACCTGCAAGCAAACCTTTTCCTCAGTGTCTCAGAATAAGACAGTACCTCAAGCTTCTCCTGGGCTGGACCTCACAACAACTTCTTGTTTCTGCAGACAGACTGTGCATTAAATAAGACTGAGAGTGATGCATAAGAAAAACAAAATTATATTGTTAATAGGCAGATGCCTAGGAATGCAGCCGAGTGACACATTCTGAGTGTTATTTCCAAACAAATATTGATTGTCATTTGTAAAGAAATAGCACAAGATGTAAAGCCATCCTGAGATTGTAATCATAATTTATTGCTGTCTACTTAAAGAGAACTGGTATGACCTTTTATGCAGATACCAACCATAATGATGAATGTAGGTCTTGACCTTTGAATTTCTGTTCCTCAAATCAGTATTTCTTGTACTCATGCTTTCAATAGGTTATTAACTTTGGAGTGAAGTATTCTCCTAAGTATACTTCATTATAATTCCACTAAAGTTAATCTATAATAGCGGTAGTTTTGGCTTACTGAAAGACCTAAAGGATTACCATTCCACCATGCTCGACATCTACAGACACACACAATTAACTCTGAGAATTTTGTCTTCTCCATTGGTTAGGTTTCATTTTATCTGAGAGTTCAGATTAGCTGACCAGGTGTTTTTCAGCACCACATTACAAAGACAGAGATTTAGCTTTTTCTGATTTAGAACAGGAATGTTCCCGAATGATGAGAGAAATTAATTTTGACCATCTGACACCATCTAGAAGAAAGGTATGAGAATTATATGTGCCAAGCAGCTCAGAAATCTGCACGTAAGATAAAGGGTTTCCACTATTCTACTCTTAAGCACTCAAGCAATTGAATGAGCATAAGCCATAAACTCCAGCCTTGATCACTCAAGCACATAATATAGTTTAGTGCTCCAATGTCTAAGGTGTCACCTTGGTAGGAGTTATTGAATATGTGGTCTCAACAATTGCCCCATTAATTGTGAACAGCTAATATTGCTTCTCATTATCCTGCAGCACAGTCATAACCAAATAAGGCAGGAGGAGACTTCAATAGACATGTGACTTCCACTGAAATCTTTTGACACCAGAGCAAATTAATACAGTTGCCTATTCCAGAAATTGGATTTGTTCAGTTTGTGTCCTTCAGATTCTTGTTCCTGAGGATAATTCTCTCTGATTGTCAGGAAATGTCAACAGAACAAAAATGGACTGGAGCAGAAAGCAAAACCTTTCTTATGCTATCTATTCAAACAGAATTTTTCTTCAAATAACGTAACTCAGAGCACCGGGCCGGGGCAAGTATTTCAGTAACAGATTGTCAGAAGTGCACAAGCTAAATTCTGCACGCACCTTTGGTGTACAGGAGCTTGAGCTTCTTATCTTGTACACAGAGAACTCCAAAGAAGTGGACAGTGCTGGGAAGATAATTAACAGAACGGTAGTATAATTTGTGAAGCAATTTTACATTGCAGTAGAGATGACATTGCAAGATGCCCTTTTTCCTGAGTCTCAATGGCTCCCATATCAAATTAACTCTTTGTAAGTATAAAATAATGATTTCTTTCAATTTAGCTCTGATTGACTGTCAAGACAATTATTCTCCCATCTCATGCATTATATCCACTTACAGAAACCCCATGCTTTACAATATTAGCACAGACATTTTTGTGCAACTTTATACACCTTGTTTTGCTCAAGTGACCCCATTACAATTCTGTAGCTTTAGACTAATTCCAACACATCCATTCTCTGATGGGAACCCAAAAGTATGCATTAAGTGTATAATCCCACCTGCAGAATATATACAACGTGCTTTGCAAAGAGCTCCACATGAATTTCAGGACGAAGCCTGAATTTGTGGGACTGGCAACTAGCAAACACATCCAACCATCTGCAGATCTAATAAGGAAATCACTGAACAGAATTAATATCAATAAGGCAATTGATGTGCCAACACTTCTACTTACTATATCAAGTATCTCCACTTTGCTTGTACTTTGTCTTTCCATCATTTCCTCTGTTGTATGTTTCTCCACCTCTTGTTGTCAATTACTAGCAGCTACATCATTACAATAATCAGATTATCTCCCCGGCTAGTAACTGCCTCATTCCTTTCAGAAGCTGAATGGAGAAATTATTACAAAAAAGAAAAGCTGTTCTTCATTCCAGGATAGAGAAGAAAGAATAACAAGACAGATAGCTTTAAGGGCCTTAAAGTGGGAATCAGGAAAAAATTAACTCACAGTATGTCACATGGCCAAGAACAGCATTTTTGTTTTACCTCTGAAGCCTGAACAGGGACCATAAAGACTCAGTTGTCAAGCAGGAAAATTACTGATACTGTTTATCAAGGCATTCATTTCTGGTCAGATGCCTATAGTCAGTAATTGTCCTCACCTATGCAGGAAGGGCAGCACTCGCTGCTATTCAGCTCCTCTCCCCCTGCTCCCAGACTCCAAGGTAGGTATTCATGTAACTTTGAGAACATTTAGTTCTTTGTTGCCTTGGACTAGATAAACCACTTACCCAAGCTAGCAACAACCTCACGCAGTTTCTCTGATGAGCTTAGATACCATGGTGACAGTAGAAATATCTAGGATGGAAGGAAGAGAAATTACAAAGTTATTTTGTTGAGAATCGCTGCAGGGAAAGGTCTTAGACTTTCTTCTAAGATTTGACACTGAGCTAACTACCTCGATGTATAAACCACAGTCTTTGCAAAAAAGAAAGGATTATAGCCAGCTAAGAAGTTTTCAGGAAAATTAGCTGGCATCGTAAAACAATTCAGAGTTTTTTACTCTGCCAACTTAACGTAACCCAAAAACACATTCTTTTTCTCTGTTCAGATGAGGCCAAGCTAAAGATCCAGTTGATCGGCATTCCAGGCCTGCTGTGAAATGTTATACCCATTTTTACAGACGAGTAAGCTGAGATGCACAGACAGAGTTAGTGTCAGTCAAAATAAGAGCTCAAGAAAGTTTTATGGTCCAATCAGTAGCCAGAAATGCTTTTGACTTTTTGGGTAAAGAGGGATATTTCACAATGTAACAACGGGTCTATTTATGTAGATGCACTTCTACAAAGCACCTTTTTCATCTGCAATGCAGAAAAGCCTTTTAATTTTCATTTTACTCCGTCATGCAGGATGTGATTATGATGACAAGATTAAAGATAGGAAATTAAGCATGGCCTCTTGGGTATTTGAATAATACTTATTTTTTTGCTAATAATTATTCTTTCTGATCATAATAAAATGCACAGAAAATAAATTATGTCATCATCATCATTATCTTTGCATCTTGATGTGTAATTTGGCTACGAACCACACTGGATAAATTTAGTATTATTAAAATTAAGAATGTTACACCTGTAGTATATCACAAACCACCTAGAAGTTCCAGTCAAAAAGTAGGTTTCCATTGTGAAGCTCATTTTAATTATTACTAGTAGTTATTTCTGCCTATACAAAATAACATCTTTTACATAAAGGTCTCTTGCTGCACAAACAGAATTCACTACCCCACAGGTGACCTGGGACCTCCTTTCCCTGGAATCCAGAGGAATTAATATCCATCCCAGGTATTTAGTGTCAGCCTACCTTTGATACTTCACAGATTTCTGTCTAGTAATTAAGGATGAAAGAAGCCAGTGTCCCTCACTGAACCCTGCTGTATTGGAGAACTTGCTGAGAGCTATTGTTAGGAAGAGGAATGAGGTATTCTTTCCCTATGGTGACTTGGCAAAAATAATCTACCAAACCAGCCAGTGACCCTGAGTAAACAATAAGATACTAAATTAAAGGACAGCAAATAAAGCAAGAATACGCAAAGAATTACTATTCATGGACTTGCCTACCCATCAAAGCATGGATGGATGCAGCTATGTCACTACAAATATGTGCAGAATGTATGGCATGGTGTATCTAGATACCTCTCTTACTTCATCCATACTAGGAGCTGCCCTATCACAACTATTTTGCATTAAAATTTCACATTGCTGACAGAGAAAGAGTATAATAAATGCTGTGCAGTTCGAGCTAAACATGGTATTTTTCTTCTTAAGTTCAGCTGCTCAGTGACCTTCCCCATGCCATCCACTCTTTTCAAGGGTGTTTTTTTTTTTCTTCATGCTGCTAGGTGACTGTTGGCCAATTGGCAAGGAGAGGAAAGAATTGTCTGGAAATTTAAAATATTAAATCTGCAGTGGTTAGAAAGGATTTTTTCCTCCAACAGAGATTAAAAAAAAGTGTGTGCAATCTGGCTGCATCTGAATGCCAAAAGAAATATGACAGCTCTTAATGCCTGGGAAAGGCTTTTTGAAAAAATGGATTAATTTATTTATTTCTCTCTCTCTTTTTTTTTTTTTATTTTTTTTTAAGGTCTTAGGAAATCACACTCTGTCTGCCAAACTTTTTCAGTAACTTTTGAATCTGTTGCAGTTCCTGAACCAATTCCAACATAATCTGATCAAGGGCTAAAGGGCTCAAAAACTCACATCCTCACAAACTTTGTGAAAATCAGGGAATGTATAAAGGAAAAAAATCAAAATTAGGATCTCTGTGGTTGGAAAGGCTGAAGGAAAACCTCAAGTTATCTGTTATGTTTGTTGTGGCCAGGCGATCAGCACATGCATCTCCAAATTTATCATGATACGTGCCTTTCATAGTCATGAGTCTTGGGGTGGCACATGGGCAGTGTAGGAGCAGGGCTATGGCTTCCCAGTGGTAGGTACACGGGAAAAGATACAGGAATGCTGTACCCAGGTATCGCAGCTGCTTTAGTTCTGCTGCTTGTGGAATGATTTCTCTTATTTTTTACTTTCACCTCTTGCCTGGCACTCTTCCTTTCCTAGAATAAAATAAACAATTCACTGCCTATCCTTCTCATTGCAATAGATCTGTTCTGGTTCATGGCTAAGACCGGGAAAAGAGAAATCTCAAGGAAATATGAGCCCTTTAACTAAATGAAAATTAGGCTAAATTAATGAAAACAGATTCATCTATTGAACTCTGAGAGGAGTTGTTCTTGACAACAGACTTTCCCCCTCTCCCTTTCTAAAATTTCCTCATCTCTCTCCTCTTTATTTTCTGACTAATCGTCATGAAACTGTTTCTCTGGTTTCCACCTCTTTTTCTTATAGCTGCCTTGCCAATTCACTTTCAGCCCAGGACCACTGTTCTATCTTGCCCCCTCTGCCATCCCATTATAGAGAAGATCTAGAGAAGCAAAGATAGCTATTTTACCAATTTCCTATGGGTCTAGTTCATTGGACATGGTTTCACAACCATGAAATATTGTTTTAATAAAGTTCAGGAGGGGGAAACTGTTGGCACTGAAAATTAATACATACTTCTGGTGGAATTTTTTTATCTTAAAGGTAATACAGGAGAGACTATCTGGAGCAGATTTGATTACTACCAGGACAGAGGGTGGCAAACTGGCTTAAGACATGGGATACTTCTAAGATGCTAATATTTGTTCCTTGGCTCCAGATACGTATGTGTACAAATGTTCTTCCTACTTTCTATTCTTTATTGCTGGGACTTTTTTCTTGCACATACTTAATTGCAGCTTTTTTCACAGGATAACCCCTATCAGGGCTGGGATGTTTTCCGTACAAGACTGTAAACCCTAGTTCACCAATCGAAGCCCAAGAAACATGGGTTTTAAATGCCACATGCCTGCTAACAAAGTTGAACAAAAAACTTAGTTTACTGGGTTTAAGTGAATAGTGCCATTTTAATTTTCTGCATTTTAAATAAGGATCACCCATCATGAAACATTTACAATTTACTTCATTTTTTTGAAGACTTCAATCTGAAACCATAGAAACTGTAATGGCTCTGGTTTTCAAAAAAAGAATAGTAGCACTTTTTTTTTTTTTTTTTTTTTTTTCCCACTGAAAAACAAAACCACAACAAAACATTGTACGAAATTTACCTCCCGGTGAAGCGTCTGACTTCAGGCATTTTGCCTTATTCAATGAAGATGGCTTATAGGGCAGGGCTCGAAAGGAGAGACTCCTTTCAGCGTGATAGAGAAAGGAAGGGGGAAAGAGAAACTGAACGGTGCAGAAGTGATGTTATTTACAACAGAGGAGAGAACGTGGGATAGCAGAGCCCCGGTGCTCTCCCTTCTCCGCAGCCACCTCGAAAAGGTTTGCGCAGGATGCCGACTGACACGATGAACTATCAATCTGCAACTTATACCACAAAAATCTGCAACTTACGGCAGAAACAGCCGAGCACGCCGCCGCCACAGCCCCACTCGGGGCTCCGCGCCCCTCAGCGCCTACAACTCCCGTCAGCCCGCGGCGCAGGGCCCCGCCGGAGCCGCCGGCGCGGAAACTGCCGTTTGTTAACTTTCGCTAGCGGGGCTGCCCCAAAACCACAAAAGGGGGGAAGCCGTGGGACCCCCTCCCCATCCTCCCCGGCAGGAGGAGCCGGCGAGACGCTGCCCCGCGCCTCGGGAGGCGCCGCGGTGGGCAGCCCGGGGTGCCGGCGGGCCTTCCTCGGGCGGCGGCGCCGCCATCGCGCCTCCCTCTCTCCAAGATGGCGGCACCGTTGGCGGTAAATTCGGGTAAGAGGAACCTGAGCGCGGGGCCGCGCCTCCTTTTCTTCTCCGCGGTGGTGCCGCTCGCCGCCTTCACCGCCAGCCGGCCGAGGGGCATCGGCCCCGCGCCCCTTTTCAAAACCCCGCGGAGCCGGGGGCGGAGGCCCTGGGAAGGCTGGGCGTGAGGAGGCGGCGCGGCCCGGGCGGGCAGGGCTGTGGGGGCCGCGGTGGTGCTGGCTGGGCGGCGGGGAGAGCGGCCTCCGTGTGGGCGTCCTCCCGTGCGGCGGTAGCTGGGGCGCTCAGGCCGTGCAAAGGGGATGGAGCTCCGCAATCGGAGCTGCCGCTGTGCCTGGTTGCTCCTGGCAAGGAGTGTGTGAAGCTGGTGATGTGAGATAGCAAAGGCCACCTTCGCTCGAGAGGGCTGTGGTGGCTCGGTGCATGTGTGATTAAGCATCACTATGGCACTCATCTCTTAATGCCACGTGTAATAAAATTAAACAAACAAACAAACAAACCACCTCCTGAATTTTGTTCTGTGTTACAGAAGTCTTGAAATGTTGAGCGAGTTTCTCTTGTGGTGGGCGTTGCTAAGGCTTAGGAGCAGCAGGATCATCCATGGTCCTTTCAGAGCATGTCACAAAGAGTGGGTTTTGGGTTACTGAGACAGCATTTACCCAGAACAAGTGAGGAATAAGTCAAATACAAAAATAAAAGACTGGATATAACTGGGAGATAAGTCTAATACAAAAAGAAAAGATAATTGGAAAATAACTTAGGTTGTCATCTGGTTCAGACTCTCCACCCCTCCCCCCTCCATGCTGGGACAGTTCAGTCAAGTGGCTCAGGGCCTTATACAAGCTAGTTTTGAATACTTGAAAGGATGAAGAAGATCCCAGAGGCCTTTCTCTTCCAGTGTGTAACCACCATCAGAGTAGAATTTATTTTTTTGCTGCTCATCTCTTCCTGGGGTACCTCTGTCTCCATTTTCTTTGTACAATGCCATCCATTAGTTGAAAACAACATCCCTCTTCAGCCTTC